TGGGAAAGTAGTGTTTCAGACTTCTTTTACGAATTATGGATTTTAGTTCGATTTTTTTAAGTCAAAAGTAATTAGATGGGGTTGTAGAGCTCCTCAATACTGTAACATCCCAAAAATATGGTCCAAAAATTTTGTTTTTAAATCATTATTAAACCATAAATATCATCATCATTTAAACATCATAAACCATGTGTTTCAAAAACATCATAACAATTGTCAAGTATCAAAATATCATATCAAATATCAGAGTGAAATATCCTAGGCTAGAAAATTGTGGTGTGTGCCATGCGATCATCCCGAGCCCTTCCCTTTGCTAGCAGAGGTACTTGAAACCAAAACTGAAAACTGTAAGCACGAAGCTTAGCGAGCTCCCCAAACTACCACATACCACACATATAACATATAACATGTAACATAAACTTTGGTACTCCGCCCAGTTGCATCAGGACAAACTCAACATCGGCTTACCCGACATCGGACTCCTACCCGACATTGGGCTCACCCCGGCATCAAACCATGTCTGACATCAGGCCTCGCCTGACATCGGGCTTGCCCCAGCATACACACAGCATATCTTATATCATAAGCACATAACATAAGCGTACAACATAAGTATATAACATATATCGGGCTTGTCCCGACATCAGACCGAAACCCGGAACATATAACACATAACATATAAGCTAACATACATCAAGCTTGCCCCGACATCAAACCTAAGCCCGTAACACATAACACATAACATGCATGAATCACAAAGACATCAAGCATACATATACACCTCTTAGGACCACCCCGATATCAGACCAAAGTCCGGAACACATAATCTGCATCGGGCTACCCCCGGCATCAGACCGAAGTTTGGCATATGCTAACATACATAAATGGGTCGGAATTGGTGCATTCGACCCGTTCCTACTGAAGGAAAACTCACCTCTCAATCTGGTTGCTGATATCTCAAGTGAGGAAACTTTGATGGTTGCTCCAACGACTCCCCGGCTATACATTTACAAAATAATTTAGTCAAAAACTAAAAATCCTTCTAAGGGTAAAATGACCATTTTACCCCTACTCAAAGTCAACGCTTTGGTCAAAGTCAACATTATGGGTTGACCAACTCGTCGAGCTCTTTAACTTAGAAATCCTGGAATCGCGACTCAACTCGTCGAGTCGTTCCTCCGACTCATCGAGTCCTATCGAGCTACTCATAGTCGCGATTTGGCAAATCAACTCATCGAGTCCCTTTAAAGACTCGTCGAGTTCTACCTTAAAATGGAACGGGACAACACAACTCGACTCGTCGAGTTCCCTTATGGACTCGGCAAGTCCCTCTATCTGTTAAGCCATCTTAACAGATTAATCCCCGATTCTCTAGATCCAAAGTCCATACTTCGCTTGTTCACTGGAAATTATCATTCTAAGGGTAAAGTTTCTAACTTAACCCGTTGATACCCCTTCTTGAAGGGTTTAGCTAAAACCCTAATTCTTTTCGGAAATAGATCTTGTCTAAAAAGCCTTACTATCCCAAACCAAAGCATGAAAACCTAGATCTAGGGTCTAGATACCAAATGAACACGTAAAGTCTCGAGCTTGCTTCCATACATGGCCTTTTGGGCTCCAAAAGGCCATAATGGCATCCTTAAATCTTGCATGGGGATCTAATGACATAAAATTTGCACCTTTATGTCATTCCAACCCTTTAAGGTCTTGGATCTGGGAGATTACCCTCTTGGGTCAATCATTCTCCAAAGGCCATCAATCTTTGACCAAAAACCCACATAAAGAGGACATAAAGAAGATCTAATGAACTACTAGTCAAGATAGAAGCTTGATTACCAGAAAATGTAGCAAATGGAGTGTAGTTCCTGGATCTAATCTTCCCTTCTTGAGCCCTTTATCTTCTTCTTCTATAAGCTTCAAAAACACCAATGTCACTTAAATGACTCATACTCTCAAAGAACACTTTAGGGTTTCGTGGATTAGGGTTTAGGACAAGGAGGCTGGAAATAAGGCCAAGGGGTAGGGGTTAAGGAGCTTAAATAAGGTCCAAAACCTCGGGATTAGGGTTTCATTTTGGTCGAGCTACTCTTCGAGTCGAGGGCTCTCGATTCGTCGAGTAGATAGCTCAAACCCCGCGCATAAACCGCCCTCCACTCGACGAGTTAGGGCCACCGACTCGTCGAGTCCCTCTTTCAAAATAAATAAATAAATGAGTTAATTGCGTACCAGGAACTAGACGTTACAATTCTCCGCCATTTAACTTAGACTTCTTCCTCGAAGTCTGTTGCATCTGGAAACAACTCCGGGTAGTGCTCCCTCATCTCCTCCTCGGGCTACCAAGCCCACTCCGAACCCTTACGGTGCTGGCACTGCACCTCACTAACTCAACCCTCTTGTTCCTCAGCTTCTTCGTCTTGTGATCCAGAATTGCCACTGGTCTCTCAATGTAATTCAGGCTGTCATCAACCTGAATATCCTCTAAGGGTACAATCGCTGACTCATCCACTAAGGACTTCCGTAACTGGGAAACATGGAAAGTATTGTGGATCTGGCTGAGCTCTGCTGGAAGATCCAATCGATACGCTACCTTGCCCACCCAGGCTACAACTCTGAAGGGGCCGATATACCTGGGGCCCAACTTGCCCCGTTTTCGGAACCGGATGACACCTTCAGGAGGACCATGTCACCCACCTGAAACTCCAAATCCGAACGTCGCTTGTCGGTATAGCTCTTCTGCCGACTCTGATCCGCTCTGTGGTCTTGAATACTACCTCAGTACTCCCCATGACCCTCTGATTGACCTCATCCTAATAAAGGCTTTCTAGTATACACATACATGAATATGCCAAAGAGGCATGGCTACCGATATACATTCGCTAGGGAAGAAGAAGAAGAAGAAGAAGAAGAAGAAGAAAGAGAGAGAGAGAGAGAGAGAGAGAGAGAGAGAGAGAGAGAGATAGAGAGAGAAATCCTCCTCTATTCCATGAAGCTTCGTCACCCGCCTTACGCGACGCTACATTTATGCCAATTTGGAGTGAAGTTCATGAGTCAAAAGCCTTGCTAACTCATCCCCACGGGTGCCTTTACAAACCCATGCCACATGACCTAAAAGTTTTATGTAATGATTCTCCATATAGGATGTCCACATGTAATTTATTGTTGACATGGCAAAATATTTTTTTTACAAGACCGAAACTTGTTTTTTTTATCCATGTTTATATTTATAACATCACGCTTTCATTTTCTTATTACAACATTGTACTTCTAATTCTTTTTATTAAGACATTATACTTTGAATAAAATGTATACAAAAAAAAAATATTTTTATGAATAAAACATGTTCACCAGATGCCAATTCACGTTCACATAAATTTAAATATGCTCACAAATTAATGTTTCATCGACACCACATCCTAGTCTGTAATGGCCAACAATGTCAAATTACTACGTGTAAATAAAAAATAATTTGAAAGTAGAATGCTATAATAAGCAAACAAAAATACAATGACATAATAAGGAAAAAATGAAAAGTATGTTGCTACTTTTTTGCATTTAGCTCTAAATTATTATTTCATAGTACAAATTTTATATCGACTATACTCTTAGGTAACCAGATTAATCCATCATTATTATTCCATTGCAAGAATTTCAGGTGCATTGGAAGAGAACATACGAGAGCTATTCAAAAACATACAAAACCACATATTCTATAATTTGAATAATCGAAATCAGATAATCAATGCAATTGCTTCAAAAAGAGAAAAGTTTCACCAACGCACGGAAATATAATATATTATGTGTTTTAGTTAATTTGGCGAGCTAGAAGACCAATCACGCATATCTCAAAAGCAACAATGACGTAGAAACTCAACTTTCATACAACTATACAAGGCTGAGATAGCATCTCAAAAGTTAGCGATGATATTTATCCTTCATCTATGTATACTTTTGTCTACTTCTTCATCTAATCATCTCCATTTTCCATCAAATCACACGTCAGCATTCATAATAAAAGATATATTCACTTTACTTATATAAAATGTCCAATCCAAAATAGTTGTAACAAAGATAAACAGACAAAAAGTTCATATTAAAATCGATGTGAATGCCATCTTATTGATCATTCGAGGAACAAACAATGACTGTTAACAAAATGAGACTTCGTTAAAAGTATAACAATACTATTTAATTTAAAATATTATAAGACAATATTTACTATATTAATTTGTTGTGGAGAAGTTGGTAATTTCGCACTCACCAATGTTTGCCACATTCTGACGAATCTTTGGTGTTTGCTTGCCTTTCGATGGCCATTCCCCACCAAACAATTGCGCCAAAACTTAGCGTTTTTTTGGTGAGAGGGAGATTAATCGGTGAATCTGGTCCTCAATTCTTCTGTATTCTCTTACATGTTCATTTCTCATCTTCCTCCGTATATATGTGTTCCAACTCACACCAACGCAATCCTATCTTGTCCATATCCCTCTTTGTGGTTCTCAAATCTTTAAGATTTCAATTCCCCACAAACCTCTGTTTCTATTACAATCATCTCTCCATATTCGTCAAAAAAGATTCCACTTTTCAAGATTCATGCCTCAAAAGCTAATGGGAATTCACCAATAACTTACATCCGTTTGGTATTTTCCATTCTTTTTACGTTTTTCACTCTTTCTTGTGTCGATTGAATCGAGAATGGGCACTGTCTTTGAATGCCCATCAACATTGTTTTTCGTTATGACTTTCAGGTAGAATCGTTTGAGCTATAGGAGCAAGATTTGCTCAATTTCAACTTTCTTCGATCAATCTCCATCGGGTTTATCAAATAATCTGTAAAGGTATGATTTTTAGGGTTGATAGAAGCATGAACAGTGACGTTATTCTCTTTTTGTTGCATTAAATATCTCAATTTGGTGTTAAATTGATGACATTCCGAAAAGGTAAAGTTTAAATCTTGAAGTTGTATGAACAAAAATTGGTTACCCAATTCGATAAATTTACAGATGGGTGACGTTGCAAAGGACTTAGCCGCCGGAACGGTAGGAGGTGTAGCCCAGTTGGTGGTCGGACACCCTTTTGATACCATCAAGGTGAAGCTCCAAAGTCAACCGACTCCACCACCGGGTCAACTCCCCCAATACTCCGGCGCCATTGATGCTGTTAAAAAAACCTTGGCAGCTGAAGGTGCAGGAGGTCTATACAAAGGTATGGGAGCCCCACTTGCCACGGTGGCAGTCTTCAATGCGGTGTTGTTCTCAGTTAGGGGAAAAATGGAGGCCATTTTAAGGTCCGAACCCGGTGCATCATTGACTGTGAAACAACAGACCATCGCCGGAGCCGGTGCTGGTTTTGCCGTCTCCTTCTTGGCAACCCCAACCGAGTTAATTAAATGCAGGTCTGTTTACGATGAAGTAAATTAAGCTCTACAAATTTCATGTTAGTTTATGACGCAACCTGTTTCTTGAATTTAGATTACAGGCACAAGGTGCAGGTGCGTCGGTGGCAGAAGGCGGTGCAGCCGCGACGGCGGCGTTGAAGTACAGTGGTCCAATGGACGTGGCTAAGCAAGTGTTAAGGTCTGAAGGAGGGGTAAGAGGTTTATACAAAGGAATGTTTCCCACATTTGCTCGTGAGGTCCCTGGAAACGCCACCATGTTTGGTATCTATGAAGCTCTAAAACAATATCTCGCCGGTGGGACTGATACTTCCGGCTTAGGCAGAGGCTCCCTGATGATGGCCGGAGGGTTAGCCGGAGGTGCGTTTTGGATTTCCGTTTACCCTGCTGATGTCGTCAAGAGTGTGATCCAGATCGATGATTATAAGAACCCTAAATATTCTGGAGCCATTGATGCTTTCAAAAAGATTCTTAAATCTGAAGGAGTTAGCGGTTTGTATAAAGGTTTTGGACCTGCAATGGCACGAAGTGTCCCTGCTAATGCTGCTTGCTTTCTAGCCTATGAAGTCACAAGATCCAGTTTGGGTTAAAAACTTAAAATTAAAACCTATGATTTTTAACATTTATTGTACCAAATTATTTATTAATTTTCTTTTATGCTTCATGGGTTTTTTTCTTGAAATCCAGTGTTATCATGTTTTATGATAACTTGTACCTTGTGCATTAAAACTTGTACACCGCGTATTACAACATCCTTAACATGATTTACCTTTTTACGTTTTTATCTTTTATTTTACATCCCTAAAACAAGGCATGTGCCTAAATAAATTCACATAAACCTTTGATTAATTCTTTTGACTGAGTAATAAACTTTGCCATAAAAAACTCCATGCATTTTGTTGAGTCAACAGATAAAAAAGGGAAAGAGTTACTTTTAAAGTTTATAAATAGATACACATGCATGTGTATTAACAGTTCTACGAGACTGTAAAAAAAAAAATGGTGAAAATGGACGATCAGTTGCAGTCTCACTCCGCACTACCTCTTCTTTCAAAACCGGATCGCATGGATTCTTTCGTGAGCTTGATTTCCACATTTCTCAAATCAAAATTCTATTTTTTTTTTTTTTTGTTTTTTAAATTCGAGAGTTTAATGAAATTCTTTTTGTTACATATGTGTAGATGAAGCATATCAGAAAACATCCTAATTTATCAAGATGGCGATATATTTTTAAATTTGGGAAAAAGAACAGTGAATGTGTTCCATTGAATGAAACGATTGCGGATGTCAACAACAAAAGCTATTTGCTAGATAGGATTGAGTCTCTTGAAGATCGTCTTATTCAGGTAATATTATTTTCTTTTTTCTGATCATAAACAAAAGTGAAAATTTATCTTCTCTTTTGGGGATTATTTCAGCTTTCTTTAGAGATTGAAACACGAAGAACATCACGCACATCGACAACAGCATCAGCAATTCCAGGGACACGGGAATTACCGATTTCTTCATACCCGGTTTTCAACAATCCTAAGCCAAAATGCAAGCGTGTAGCTTCTGATGTTTTACCCATAAGCACTGGTGGTGAATTACAGGTATGTTGAAGGACTTATTGTGTAATTTGATGAAGCAAAAGGGCTTGAAGTGGAATTTCAATATATATGTTTTTTGTATGTATGAACAGAAGAGATCTGAAACACTGAATCCGAAGCAAAAACGGAGGAATGGAAAGAGTAATGTGGAGAATTGTAAGACATTCAAGAATGGGAAGAAAAAAGCTCACAGTTGGCCACACCTAAAGATATTAGGTTGCTAGTGCTTGTTTTATTCTAGTCTTTTGATTTTTTTTTTTGCACCTTTAGTGTTTTATTGTTTGCCTTTTCTACATAAGGAATCATTAAAAGAAAGTTAATGGACTAGTTAATGGTGTTGAAACTTATTTAATAAATTGATACGATACCATTTTTTAAGGCTAAAGAGAAGGGTTAGTTTGGATGGGGTAGAAGTGGAGCAATCTAATTTCAATCAAGTTGACAAATATGATGCCATATGATACTATAATCTAAGGTTTAAGTATTTAATAGCGTTTAGCAAGTGAGACTTGACATAACCGAATAAAATAAGCCTCTTTTAGATAGGGTTTGGTATATACAGAACAATATCGGATGTTGAGTGTGTCAAATACGACTATTTTCTTAAATTTTAATGTCATCCAAAAATCTTCCCTGCCATTGCCCTCTCGTATCGTCTCGTCTCGTTCATAACACACTTTTTCTTAGGTTGATGACATCAGATCTTCCTCCATGGATACCATTTCCTATCATTTGCAACAAATAGCACACTTAAAATTAATAAAACATAACCAATATGACAATTCTTTTTGAATAACTACTGAATATTCAACATTAATGATGCTTAATAAGGTTGTACAAACCTTAACCCGATAGAATCAAAACTAAAGTCCTCAACCCCATCTTATTCATCCTATACCTTTGTCAACAAATATCACACTTATAAAATTAATAAAACATAACCAATACCACAAATTCTTTTTGAATAACTATTGAATATTCAACATTAATGATGCTTAATAAGGTTGTACAAACCTTAACCCGATAGACTCAAAACCAAAATCCTTAATCTCATCTTATTCTTCCCATACCTTTGTATGTCAAACAATGCCACATGAATCAAAACCGACTTTTTCTGAATCTTGTTATGATTTTATATGGAATATCATTCCCGATGACCATAGGAACTTTAATTAAAATGAGTAAAAACGTGAGGGGTTTGTAAAGAATTTTGTTCTAACTTATCTTTGATATGTAGAGCCTTATCGAGTTTTTGAGTTTGTAAGTTGATCCTAAAATTAGAGATACCTTAAGGAGCTTTAGGGTGTGTTCGAAAGACAACTTTTAAAAGCATCTAACTTTTAATTTAACAAAAAAATTGAAAAAAAAGCTTTGTGCGACAGTAGGAACTTTTAGCTTTTAGCTAAAACAAACAACTACTTCAAGTAGCTTTAACAAAAACTGTTTTGTAATTTTATAAATTGACTTAATTACCCTTACTTAAAAATAATGATGTATTTTAGATACACATTTTTATGTATTTTACATGTTTTAAAAGCTTCCGACTATTTTCGTCGAACAATCATATACAAATAAAAGCCACAACTGCCACATACCAACTTTCAATTAGTTTTATCAAACACGCCCTTAGACACTTTGGTAGAACCGCAAAATGTTGATTTGTGGTTGACCACTTCTTTCATAGATGAATGTATAAGTGATTAAGAGGCAACCTCTTAATTTTTCAGATTAAGAGTGTTTGATAGCATAGGAATAAAAGCCTCTTAATTTTGTAAAAGCCTCTTAAACTTTCAGACTTGGGCTTGTATCTGAAAAGAAAAAGAACGCGTCCTTCCCTCTTTTACCCTCTTACGGATTCCAAAACCATACACCCACTTTCAGAACGCCTCTACCAACTCCTCCCTTCTCCGACCATCTTGAGCGCCAATCGCTCCTTCTACCTCCTCCGGTTGCTGACCTCCCTAAATCAACTCCCCTCACGACTTCCGACGCTAAGCTCCAACAACATTGCCCCTTCTTTGACAACATTCACCACCTTCGACAGCCTCCGCTAGCATCGCCAACGACGATGGCCTCATGTTGTAGGTAAGTTTTTTTCCCCTGAAATAGATTCTCTGTAAATAGATCAAATGTTCTTTTCCCTTGAAAAGCGATTCGCATAATTGAAATCGATTCACAACCTCGTCAGTCCTCGATTTTTTATTTTCTGTTATTGACTTTTCTGAGATTGGTTTTCTGAATTGAAATTGATTTCTCCATAACCATGGTTTCCCAACTCTACCCAATTAGTTTGAAGAACATCACAAACTATTACAAGCTGATCACCACGATTGTATAAACATTACATCACACTATTGCTTCACCACCAACCACTTTACTTGGGATATTATGATACATTGCTCCAGGTGAAGATTTATTGTATAGATTTATTTCTGTTTGTAATCTTGTTTATATTCATTTAATTTGGTTATTGATTTATGTTGCAAAATATACGTTTACAAGCTTGAAAAGAATGGAGTTTGATGTGTATAATTATGGGGGTGTATTGCTAGAGCTCATAATCAGAGGAGGTTGAAAAGATTGTAGATGGAGAGGTTTTTTTTGATTTCACATTGAAACCTCGTGGGCTTGTAAAAAAAGAGAGGGTGATGTGGACAAAGAACTCACGTAATGATTAAATTGAACATATTTATTAATTTTGATGTTGTTTTGGTTAATATTGATGTTGTTTTAATGAATTTTGATGTTGTTTTAATGAATTTTGATGTTGTTTATATGATTTTTGATGCTATTTTGGTGGAATTAATACTTATAGTTTTAAAGTGGTAAGGTTGGAAGTACAATGTTGTAATTGGAAAAAAATAATAGAGAAGGTTAAAATGGTCATTTTTGTTATTCAACACAAAAATCCAGAAGTTCCAAACAAACAGCATCTTAAAATTAAGATCTTAAAAATTCAGATCTTGCCAAACAACCCCTAAATGGGATGAAGATGTACAAGTATCACACATGTTTGTTGTATGATGCGATTAAGGTTAAGGAATATGCATAAAGATTTTAGGTGTATATATATATATATATATATATATATATATATATATATATATATATATAATATTGCATCATGTTCTGTCCCATTCTAAATTTTCCAAATGATAAGTCCTCTCAAGTACCGTTCAAACCAGTCTCACATATCAAACGCTATATAAGAGAATACATATACAACAACATACCCTATGAATCTCATTAAAAATAGTTAGGGGATTTGGAAGTCGACATTCAAGTCTCCATAGGATGAAGAGTCATTTAAATGACCTTTAACATGTGCACAATGAAAAGTTATATAAGGGGAAAACTAGGAAAAGTACGTTTCAGTTTACAGTAAGAAATAAACATGACTAATTTTTGTAACACTTGATTCATGATTTGGGCATTTTGGCAGATGCACTTACCAAATTATTTATTTGAGGTTTCACGTTTTGGGTTTTTTTAATTGTATCTCCTAATTCCCGATTATGCCTCTCCCATACTAAGATTAGTTGTTTAAAAGTCCAAGGAAATCTAGAAGCGAAGATCGAAGTTTGAAGGAATTAATCGCAAAAATTTGAAAACTAAAAATATGGGAAATTGTTAAGAGGGCACCAGGACTTCTATTTAGAGGGTGTGGATTGCCCATGTCCGTGAGTTGAACAACATTTTATGGTATTAGGGACTATATAAGGTGCATTAACCCCTAGGGTTTGATCACTCTCACCCTCCATCAAACCTAGATCAACCCTAGCCTCCCTTTATGGGATTTGAGCTCACCTTCTCTCCTTTCATCCACTTTTGGTGCTTATTTGAGTGTATTGATGAAGCTTGAAGACGTGACAATCACAAAAATAAATAAATAAATATAAATAAGAATGAAAAAAAATTGTCGCCGATAGCTAAACACTAAAATTAACGAACGTCAAATATAATAGACTTAATATTTAATATTTATCAATCTATGTTAAAAATAAAGGATTATGTGTTCCAATATATAAGGAAAAACATTCAAATCGTACAAAAACTAAAAAAATAATTGTGCAAAAAGTTGTGTTATTTTTTATAAATAATAACATATTCCGAAAATACACGTCGTCCCGATCTCGAAAATATAAAATTCGTAAAAATGTGACTTGTATGGAAAATTTATGACTTTTAGTCTTTTCTAAGTTGTAAAATCAACCGTGCACAAGGATACGCATCGTAAAAAGTAAAGGAAAATCGGTTGAGTTTTAGCCAAAACTACGTAAAAGAGAATCGAAGTACTCCTCGTTACAAAACCGATGATATGAAAAATGTCAAAAATGGAGTCCGTGCGAGAAAGATATGATTCTTGCAAAATCATTTAGGTACACCCCTTATAAAAGTTTGGGCTAAAAATAAAGTTTGAATTAGCCAATTCAATCTAAATAAAAGTTGTAGTATTTGTCGACAGTTACACGTGGATATAAAAAATATATATAAAATGAAGCTCGTATTAGAGAGATGCGATTTTTAGAAGTTTGAAATTCATACCTACCACATGCAGAGCGTTTGGTCGGTAGCGCGGTGCGCCTATGTGGTCCACCAATAATCAAACACGTAGCAATGCATTTCTGGAGCTAGCACTCGAAGGCCCAACACGCCCTCCTTTTCAGAGCCCCTATAAATAGAGCATAAAGCTCTGTTGATTTTGCATAAAAATGAAGCATCTCTCTCAGCAGCCTTCATTCGTTTCTTTAAAGGAATTTCTTTTAATTTGTTTTTTAATCTTTTACCCCCGAGCCTAAAGTAATCCCAAGCATTTGACCGCTTTTCAGCAAGAAAAACATATCGATTAAAGCACGCTACAAAGGTGAGTTCATGATCCCACTTTTACGTTTTTCAAAGTTTTCCGGTGGGTGGGGTTGGGGAGGGGGACCATGTTATTTTACTAAGTTATTGATTTTTTAATTATTATATCAATATTTATTGATGACATGTTCAAAATTTTAGGATAATATTATAACCATTAGTTACTCTGCCCAAATGTTATGGATAGTATTATGTCTGTTTGTTATGCTACCCAAAATTTTATGATAATATTATACCCAGTAGTTATTCTGCCCAAATGTTATAAATAATATTATGTCTTGTCGTTTTTCTACATAAATCCTAAGGATAATATTATGTCTCGTTGTTACTCTGCCTAAATGTTATGGATAATATTATGTCTAGCCGTTTCTTTGGCGAAATCTCCCAGATACCATTCTACCTAAACGTCACTCTGCCCGAATATATTTTTAAAAGTAATTAGAAAATATAATTATATAATTAAATAGAATTAAATAAGCTAAGTAATGGAAAACAAGGTATACTATAAGGCTAAACAAATCAAACTAAAGAAAACAGGTGTTAAATGAGAGAACTATTCATCATTTGGCTAATTAAACTTTAGCTAAACTCCGACCTATAGCATAGTTAAATCTTAAGTGATAACTTTCTAAACTGTTACGACGTCCGATGAAACATTGTGTGTTGGGGGCACAAACATTGTCAAGAACTCGATTATAGGAACTCACTATGGCATTATTCCGCTAACCTTAAAATAATCAAACTACATGTAAGGGGAGTGCCCTAAGGTGGTAATAGTATATACAAATGTTAGATAAAAGGGAAAGCCTTAAACATCATATTATATATATATATATATATATATATATATATATATATATATATATATATATATATATATATATATATATATATATATATATGACAGGGGAACGCCTATCATACTAATTATACAACGAACAACAGATAAAGTATGAAAGCTACAGTACCCATAAATAGAATAATACTACTTATGAGTTAAAGGTATCCTAATATTATAAATCAAAATACTTACACAACTAGATAAAGTTATCTATAAATGTATTTTCAAGATATTATATTTAAACCTATGAACTCATCAATATTATATTGACGTTTTGAAAATCACATGTATTTGTAGGAAATCAAGAGAAGGAAGCCGCATACCCGGAATTCAAGATGTGAAGCGAACATCCCTTATGTTGGATTAAGGTTTCCAAGGTCATAATTACATTGGTATACTTTTGTAGTTAAAAACAAAGTCCTTTTCAGGTTCCCTCATGATCATAAATAGCTAGAAATGATATTAGACAGAGATCAACAATTTATTAGATTATTATATGATTGATAAACTAATTGGAAATTATGGGAAAATGATTTGTTAATATATTATGTGATTAATATATTAACTGGAAATTGATAGTTGATTTGTTGGTTTATTATCTGATTAATAAATTAATTTGAGATCAATTGGTAAATAATTGTTTTGTTAATTTATATGATTCATAAATTGATTCATTGTTAATCAGAATTAATCTGGAATTAATTCAAGATTAATTGAAATTAACGGAAGGTGCAAGGGCGAATATTAATTGTTCAATAGTTGAACAAAAGAAACAATTTTGGAACCCTCCATGGTATGTACAGTTTTGGATGGTTTCCTAGGAGTTATGGAAGCCTCTTGATTGCATAAAAAGAAAGGATTTGAATTAAGATTAAATCCATTATTTAATCAATTCAAATCGTGTTTTTCCTGTATGTCACCTAAACTATAAATGGACCCCTTGGCTTGCAATTTTCGTTCTCCATATTATCTATACACATCTTATAAACATCTAGTTTAATTCAAGTAATTATTAATATCTTATAAATGGACACCTTGTTATACATATCTTATAAACATCCAGTTTAATTCAAGTAATTATTAATAAGAATAAAATATGTTCTAATGAAGGTTTAAATTTGAAATCATGACTTGACATGTTAGTTTGTATTGGTGGTTTAGGTTATTCAGATTATAGAGATTGATTTCTTTGATGGAAGACTAAATATAATAAAATTGACTGGTTGATTTCAGGTAAGTTTTTTTACTCATCTTTCAGCACTCTAATTACATGCTTTCAACTTAAAACGATAGAAAATTTATTTTGAATTTTGATACGTTGTCTTTCATTCGTTATCAGTGTGGGGAGTAGATGGCAATACAAAATAATTTATGGGTAGTGCACTATTCATCTTTCTCTTTTCTACTTCTCTCCTTTTTCAACTCATTAGGTAAAAAGCATTTCAAGTCGTTCCTCTTCTTTTTTCTATGCATTCCTTTCATGATTGTATGTTATGATTTATGTATTTCTTTCTGAAATTAGGGCTTTTTTTACAACTTAAAGCTTCATCATATCTTATTCATTGATCTCTACCATTGTGGATACATTCAAAAACTCAGATTTTGCAAAAGAAAGAAAACCCATATTTGTTTTCAAGTAAATTCTGTTATGATTTTGTCTATATTCATGCTTTTGTTGAATGTCTATTATTGTGTTCATCCATGTGTTTTTGTATCCATGTGTGTGAGTGTGATTAATTTTCTGATTTGCACATCTTCAAACAATAACAAGTATTCAATGTGCTGATGGTTATGCGTTGTCTAGTAGGCTTTTAAGGTAAGAAAATGTACTTATCGCACACTACCATTTTCTTTTACAATCTTGATTTTTAATTTCCATTTTTGAAACCAAATTATCCAGGACATCATTCAGGACTACAAAGTATGGTCATGCATGGTTAAGGAACATGGTATGTTTTGGACTTTCTACAAACCCTACAAGAATGGTCTTTTAGATATGGTATTGCTTTTGACTTTTGACTTTGCTTCTTTTTTTTATTATTGTTTGGATTCTAGTGTTAAATTTGGAATGAAATTGAATTTTTTCTTAAATATATGATTTGTGTTCTAGCTTATTGTGTGTGTGTGTTTTTTTTTTAAATTTTATGGATCAAGTTGTATTTCTATGTGTTTAGGAGTATTTTTCTGAAGTAGATAGGATCTGGCTTTGATTATCAATAGAAAGGTGACAAAAAAGTGTTTCCATATTATGTGGTTTTCTTTTGAGATAAGTTACAAAGTTCATGGACAATTGTCAAGGTCATACTATTTTATTATGTTGCATGCTCAATTTCCATTATTGCCATTGTTCCTTTTTCAAATTCCATTCTTTTATTATAAAAGTATCCTTATAGTGTTTTGAGTTGTATGCCACTTTAATGAGAGCAAGATGTTATGTTTGGCAACTTTTGCAACTATGCTTATCTAAGTGTGACTGAATTGAGCCTCTGTTGGAGTTGGTATGTTGTAGCTCCTCTTTTGAACAAATTTCATATTTTCATTTAATCTATAGTTTAATCACAGATTATGTAAGCTTGTTAATGGTGCTATTCGCCACCAATCCATTATTCTGGAGCTCATTCGGTACTCATATCTCAACGAAACACAATCTTTTCACAACAGTTTTTACACATACTACACTTTGATCCATTTTTTCTTGCAAGAAACAATAACAAAAATATAAAACTACTACGACCCATATGAAAACTAATTTGAAGATAATAAAAACTACCTCTTAATTATTGATAAATAATGACAGGTTTTGTGTTTACATGGATTAGAAAACAGTCCTGGACAATATTTCTCTTAAGTTTCTTTCTTTCTTTTTATAGAAAACATTTATTTTTCCATTTATTCTAAGAAAAATATTTTATATTTTTTTTTATATATGTTACCATTATGAGTTCAATTTTTTTATGCTCAGAGGTCAATGGTACCTATACATTCGTGTGCTATTGGGTCACAACATTCTACATTCCTACAATAGGCATCACATTGCTGAGTAAATTACAAATTTGTCCCTGATTTTATGGCTTCTTATATAACTGGAAGTGTATGTCTGAAGCCACATTAGGTAAATGGATTGCTTTGATGTATCTAAAAGTATGTTGAAATATACTAGTGGCGTATATATTACTGATTTTTATTTTCTTTTTAAAAAAATTAAAGATTTTTTTTCATATTCAGACAGTATTTGCAAAAAAAAAAAAAAAAAAAAAATCGCAAAACAACTGTGGTGTCTATTTATGATTATTTATTTGCTTTGGGATGAAGACCTTGGTGCAGAGCACTTTAATCCCGGAAGGTATAATTGGTGCATTTAAGCCATCATTTTTGTCTGTCTTTTTTTTTACTACTTCTTCAACATAACTTATGTCGTGAAATAATACTCTGCCATCATACCTGAATCAAGCATCAACAGTTTTTTGTTTAATACCTTTTTTTTCATACTAAGATATTATGCTTTGAAAAATGTACCCAATTATAACAATGAAGAATGCTTTCACATTTGTATCACATTGTTACAATTGGATAGATTTTTTAAAGTACAATGTTGTAATAGGACGACATGGAGGCATGGTGCACAGTAAACAAATATATGAAAGTACATTTTTGTTTTGTGCATTTAACTGCTACTTTCAATACATTGTTTTCTTGTTGCCCGTGTGTAGTGGTGTTGATTATGATGGCATGTGCGGAATTAGAAAAGATCTAGTGAATCATCATGTCAACTATGAATACATGGAGTAAATAAATATTGTTAAGCTCTCATCAGATCTAGAAAGAACATACAAATGGGTCTTCTAAAAACTTTCTCTATAGTCTAACAATCCAAAATGATCATTACATAAATGAGTGCCACTTACTTCCTTATAAAGGAAAGACAACTCATTACACACATACAAAGGAGTAAAGCACAAATATATCCAAGCGTGACTTTGCACCCTAACACCACGTTGATAAAAATTGTAACAACTTGACATTTAGGTAACTTCATTTTAAACCCTAAGTATGAGAATGTATGTTATTTTATACATTTGATGTGAATTAATTGCAAAATTGAACCAAAATAGCATTTTCATAAATTATGGGAGCTGGGCACATACGCTTGGCATTTCCTAGGAACATTGGGCATAAGTTGCTAGAGTACAAACCCTAATTTTAGGGTTTGGATCCTATTTAAGTATCCTTAAGTGCCAAACCTACCTTCTTTCATCAGCCTTCAACCCAACTTCGTCCCCAAGCAAACCCTAATACATTTTAGAAAATTCTTGAGCTTTTACATGTATTTTGGTAATCTTGAAGGGCAGAGGAAGAAGAGAAGATGGTCTTAGAGGAGTGGAACTCTTTAGATCCAAAATAGCAACATCATTTGGCATCATTTGGAGGTAAAAAGCTCTAAACATGATTAAGAGTTGTTTAGATCTTATTTATTATGAAATGTTGTTCTTTTGGTCCCATAAGCTTGGTATTATGAGTATGGATTACTTAAATTCATGTAAACTGTCCTTTAAGATTTTTTGGAGCATCTAGAAGCATAAAAATGTAACCTTGGTTGTTAGTTTCCTTCCGTGCATGAGTTACAAGATCTTAATGGGTTAAGTAGTTAGGGTTTTTGTGTTTGGGCACTTAATGGCCATGCAAGACCATAAAGTTGGAAACTTTATGGTTAAGGACATTATTTTATGGTTAGGTCTGGATGATGGAAAAAAAAGCTTAAAGATTAAGCTCTTAATGGAAAGGAAAAAGACTTATTCGTGAACGTTGGACGTTCGTGGTTAGCCATCACGTTTTTTGGTCAACTCATGTAAGCTAAGCATACAAGCTGAGTAAACTGGGTGTACTCAGCTGTGTTGATCGAGTTTGAATTTTTGACTTTGACCTGTTTTGACCAAGTTTGACATAAGGGTATTTTGTGTGGTAATTGAGACGGGTTATTATTTCATGAATAGGTTACCGTTTGAGCTGATATTCGGAGTTGTGTCTCATTCAACAATATTTTTCAAACTGAGATGTGAGTTTTCCTCACTGTACTTGTGGGTCGAAGGCACCAAGGCCAGCCCATTGCTTTGATATGATGTTATATACTGATTGATGATATGTTGAGTATGCAATAGATGTGTATGATTATATGATAACTATTGATAGGCTTTAAACCGGTTGATCTATAGGACTACCTATGATTATTATTTGTAAGATTATCTGTCTACATAGTGTGTTTGTTATTTTTTATATCTCGACATGTTATGTTGGGGTTGAGACTATTGCTTTGTGCTATCAGTCAACAGATCGAGGCAATATAACCGGGAGGTTATGGGCCAGGGTATTCCAATCAGCAGGTTGTGGGCCAGGGTAATCCAACCGGGAGGTTGTGGACCTAGTACGTGATATCCAGGGTAATCCAATTGGGAGGTTGTGGGCCAGGGTAATCCAACTGGGAGGTTGTGGACCAAGCATGATGAATTGTTTATGTTATGTATTATATACTTTGGGGGAACTCACTAAGCTTAGGCTTACAGTTTTAGTTTATTGTTTCAGGTACTTCTGATGATCGCAGAAAAACAAAGATGTGATTGTGTACATGTTCCTATTTTTATGATATTGGATCTTGGGAAACACTCTAATTATGTTTATACTTTTGAAACAATGGTTTGGTAAATACTTTATGGTTGAAATGAGTTGTTTTTGAAATTTTTAAATTTTTATGATTTTTGAGATGTTACTCAAATGGTACAAAATTATTTTTTTCTAATTTTGTTCCATTCATATGGGTTTTAATATGATGTATGTAAGTAAAAATATGGTTTGTTATGTTAATCTATTTGGTGCAACAACCAAGAAGGTGGATCTGATAGTAGGAGGCGAGGAGAAGGATAAGGGAAAGTCCTGAGGTTTTATTTGATATTAAACATACAAACATATTCTGAAAATAGCATCCTACTTTCTGAAAATAATATTGTAATAGAAAATAATGAAAGTAGGATGCTATAATACGAAACTTATGTTTCGAATGACTACCTTTAGATCAAAACTGAATTGATGCAGGGCAAACGAAAAGATTTTTGACTTCCTTTATTTTTTATGACTCACAACTTTATAATCACCAACTTACTTTGTGGTTTCTAGAAGATTTCCTCATACAGTGCAAATCGAATGCACCATAAAAAAAAACAATAACCCTTTCGACCCAGGCGAAGTATTGGCCACATCACTACTTAATACGAATATCAATATATAAATTACATAAAGTAACCTTAAAACAACAATTAATCTTTTTAAATAATCATTTATGACCGAACTTGAATTATGGCCAAAAACGAAAAAAAATAGTAATGTTAATAGTTAAAAGTGTAATCAAATAAAAAATAATAGTTAATTTTATTGATACACAAGTTGTGTATAGAGATCATTAAGTAGTCCTGTTCAAATATATCTATATAAAATTAATTTTCATAACATGTATTTATCTCCATAAACTAGTTAAACAAAAGAAGAAATAAAAGATAAAACCTCATAAATGGTCTTTGTGGTTTCTCGAAATCAGGAATATAGTACCTTAGTTTAAAACACCCTATAAATAGTTCCCATTGTTTTCAATTTATATCATCGTTGGTCCCTCACCCACTTAAATCCATAACCGATAGAGATCATTAAGTAGTTATAGTGTCAACCTAAAACACACACCTCAAATTGGTGCACTAGTAGGTTTATGACTCAAATCATCGATCACTATATTGGCCTTCCCGGGATGATAAAAAAATTCCACAATCATAGTCCTCTACTACATCGAGCCACCTCTGCTATATCATATTCAGATTCGGTTGATACATCAATGGTACACCGAACCCTATACAAATAGCGACTCCAAATCTTGAGGGAAAATACCACTACCCCAGCTCCAAATCATGTAACAGATTATTCGCTTCATGAGGCTTCAACTGCCATGAAGCATACATAATAACTCGTCCCCGTTGCATGAGTAAAACTCCCAAACCTGTGATCGATACATCATAATTGACCACGAGATCCTCAACACTTTTGGGAAGGGTCAAAACCTGTGCCTCACACAACTTCTATCTCAAGGAATCAAATAACACCTGCTACTCAGGTCCCCAATGAAAAGCAATTGTATTCTTCGTCAACCTAGTCAAAGGTACTACTATCTTTGAGAAATACAGGATAAACCTCCCATTATACCCAGCCAAACCAAGGAAGCTTTGAATCTCATATAGAAACTTCAGAACCTTCCACAACATTACAACCTCAATCTCAACTAGTTCGACTAAGATACCATCCTGGTTGACAAGATTCCCCAAAAATTGAACCCCCTACAACCAAAATTCACACTTGGAGAATTTATCATAAAGCCTCTCCCTCCTCAAAGTCTTAAGAACCTCCTGCAAGTGCACCTCGTGCTGCTCCATGCTCTTAGAATAGACCAATATGTTATCGATAAACATAATCACTGATTGGTCTAACATCATCCTACACACCCAGTTCATGAGGTCCATGAATGTCATCGGTGTGTTGGTGAGCCTAAATGATATCAACTCAAACTTATAATTCCCATAACGAGTTTGGAAGAATGTTTTTCGAATATCTTCATCCCTTACTCTCATCTGGTGGTAACTCGACCTCAAATCAATCTTGGAAAACCCATATACACCCTGAAGTTGATTAAATAAATTATCTATCCTCGGAAGCGGATAAAGGTTCTTCACTTTGATCTTGTTCAACTCATAGTAATCTTGGAAAACCAAGATACACCCTGAAGCTGATTGATTTTAGATGCACC